ACTCGAGGAGAAGATCGAACCAGCCACGTGACGTACCGGCCCGATCTGCTGAAAGAGGTGGAGCCGCGGGAAAACCCTCAGGTTTGGACACCGAGCAACCAGCGCCTGAAACCAAGGCTGGGCCAGCCACCAAGGGGCCAGAAGGACAACTCTCCCCTGGTAAGTCTCTAAGCGAGTCAGGACCTGGAGCAACAGCCGAACTGGGGAAAAGAGGTACTGGAACCCCCACCTCTACCAGTCTAGCCGAAAGGCATCGACCCCGACAGCCTCACGATCGGGGAAGGGCGCCGCATACATGCGAAGACACCGCGACCACGCCGACGCGAAGAGATCCACCTCGGGGTGCCCGAATGTCTGGCAAAGCCAATGGAAGGACTCGTCGTCGAATGTCCACTCCGTGGAGAGGGGAACGAAGCGAGACAGGGCGTCGGCCAAGACGTTGGACACTACCTGTACGTGAACCGCCAGGAGAGCCAAACCCCGAGAACTCAGCAGACGAGTCACCCGAAGCGCCCAACCCCAAAGAGACAAGGACCGCATCGAACCCCCGAGGTTCAGGCAATGAACCACCGGAGAGCAGTCCGAATGGAGCCGAATCGTCGATCCGCGGGCCACCCAAATCCTCCCGAGAGCGAACCACACTGCCGCGAACTCCCGCACCGTGCTGTGAGCTCGACAGAAGGACAGATCCCAACCCCCCTGGCCGGCCTGGTGAGCACTGGTCACAAAACCCCAGCCGAGAGACAACGCATCCGTGTACACATCGAGCGAGAGCTCGGGTAGGCGCCAAGGCACTAAACCCCGAAAAACCCGAAGAGGAAGCCGGTGACACAGCAACCGACGCAAGGCCCCGGGGGTTGAACTCTGCGATCGTGAGAGAGGCGGAAGGGGGGACCCCGAAGGAACCAGAACAGCCGATGAAGCCAAACCCGACCCGGCGGGTAGACCACCATCGCAAAGTTCAGGCTCTCGCACAGCCCCTCGAGCAACCGCCGGGTAACCCGAGGGCCCTCCAGAAACAGACGAAGGCGGGACCGCAGCCACAGGAGAGACTCAGGAGGGAGAGACAAAGAGGCGGTTTGAGAGTCCCAAACGAGACCCAGCCAAGTCCGAACCTGAGAGGGAACCAGATGGGACTTCCTCCAGTTCACTAAGAACCCGAACCCGGCGAGCTGGGAAAGAACCAAATCCCTGGCTAGCAAGCAAGCTGACCAGCTGGGAGCCCAAACCACCCAGTCGTCGAGGTAGGCCAACACCCGAACACCTAGGAGACGCAAACGAGCCACCACAACCCGTGTAAGGCGCATGAACACGCAAGGTGCCAGGTTCAACCCGAACGGGAGACAACGAAAGCGGTAACTCAGACGCCCCACAACAAAACCGAGCCATTCCCTGAACCCCGGATGAATCTGGACATGCCAATAAGCGTCTCGGAGGTCCAGGGACACCATCCAAGCGCCCCGCTCCAAGAGGAGCCGAACCTGAGACAGCGTAGTCATCCGAAAGGAGGGACAATGAACCCAGGGGTTCAGACGGGACAAGTCAAGAATGAACCGCAGGTCCGCACAGTCCCGTTTCGGAACCGGAAACAGACGGGAAACCCATCTGCGGGACGATGTCGTTTCGACGATGTCCAAGCATACCCACTCCAAGATGACTCGACAGCACAGGGAAAGAAACCTGCCCTGCCAGCCCCGACCCCCCCCCAAGGGGGAAGGGGCCACCCAACGCCACCGCAGGCTGCGAGACACGACCCGAAAGGCCCACAAATCATGGGACCAGGCGCGGGCGAACAGCGCAAGCCGCCCCCATCGCCCTGTCAATGGGGCAAACCGCGAAAGGGCCGGCGACCCTTAAGAGACCCAGAACCCCGCACAGAGCGAACCCTGCGCCGACCAGACGAGGGAGGGTCCTGAGTAGGAGCCGAACCCGAACCTGACACCAGAGCCCTACCACGACGAGAGGAACCCCGAGGCCTGGCACGACCTTTCCGGGAGGACCCACCCCGGGACCCCTGGAAAACCAACAAGTCCGACATCGGACGACAAGCCGCCGACGCAGCCTGAATAAACTGCGCCACGGCCTACTCAAACAGAAGAGGACAAAAAGGTGAAGAATGCCTAAGAGCCAGAGCCCAAGCAGATTCCACGGAGGAACCCAGCACCGCCTGCCGAGACGGGAAGCATAAAACGGGGAAAGATGCATCCCGCAAAATCGGCGTGAACAGCTTCAACAAGGCAGCCGACGAACGCGCAAGCGAGGACAAGGTGCCGGACCCCGGGAAGGACCCAAGCGACCTCACATCCTCCACGAGCCAATCCGAGGACAGCTCCAGGAGGGAAAAGAACCGCAAGGCCGAAGCCAAAAGGCCCCGGGCGCGCAAGTCCTCCGCAATGAGCGCCGCCGAAAGGGTGGGAACCTGCACATGGAGCTGAATAACGCCCACATCGCGGGGAAGGGCAGGGGCAAACAAGCACTCATTCAGGTACTCAAGATCGCCCCCCAGGAAAACCTGAAGCACCGTGGAAGCTTCCAGCCACTCCAGCGTGCTGGAACGACAGAAGGAATGCCAGAAATCCAGAACAAACAAGGGGCAGTCCGCTAGCCAGGAAGACTCCGGAACCTCGTAATGGAGCCAGAAAGGGAACGAAGTCCCAAACCTGAACTCAGACGGATCCATCTCCGAGGCATAATCCGGGTCACACAGGAGGTAAGCTGCAAAGGCCGCCCGCACCACACCAGGTTGGAAGCAATAAGCCAAAAACTTCCGGAAAGACGGAACCGACGTACCCGGGGGAACACGGAACCGAACCCGGGGAGGGGCCGACACCAAATCCAACTTGTACGCAGAGGGGGGAAAAGAAAACCCCACTCCTTGTAACAATAAGCCCCGCTCAGAGGGAAGAAAAACCTAGGCGGGGTCCAGCGGGGCCCAAGGCCCCCAAGTCAGCCCCTCCCCAGCCTCGAGGTCCTTCACCACAGGACCCGAGGCCGAGTCCTTTCCCCAAGCCCCGACCCCACAAGACAAGGACGGAACAGCCGGAAAAGCTGGAGGAAGGGGGGCCCACTGGTCAGACCCAGAAGCTTCGGCCGGGAGACAAGACTCGAATGCCTCTGCCGCCCCCCCCCCTGGAAGGGGCACCCCCGAAGCTGCCCGAGTCTCGAGATCAAGTAACCCCTGCTCCGACCCCGAAACCCTCAGACGCTTCAGGGCCGGAAGCAGGGGGGGGGGCACCAGAACGAACAGAAGGGGAAGGACGAGGAGGTGTGGACTGAACCAGGATCGAAGCAACCCCCACCCCCAAGTCCGGGTCTCGAAGAGCAAAGCGGGGCAGCTCGGGGCATCCGGGCGAGCAACCAACCGAGCGCTTTGCAACGTACGAAACCTAGACTGCAGTGCACGCGCCGCCTGTACCCGAAGAGAATCATCAGAGGATTGGGTAAATTGAGTCACAAGCAAGCAGCAACATACACAGGACTCAGGGTCGAAAGTATCATTGACCCAACAGGCAGTGTAGCAGAGGCAAAAACAATGAAGGTCACCTTGAGACAAGGGGACCGAGCAACCCTCAAACTCGTACACAGCGAGCGGGGACTCCGGGGTCACATCCATCGGACCCACGCGCCCCCTAGGGGATTCCCAGGGTCCTGAGCGTTTACTTTAAGAGGACTCGCACTCAGGTAGTCCCAGGCAGTGCGCTGCTAACTGGCGCCCAAAACTACCAAGCGAACTTCTATATCAGTGCCCCAGGGACGTGTACACTCACAGGGACCTAGCAGGGGGCGCCACCAAGGAGAACAGTGGAAGGGCAAAAACCAATGGAATAATACGACAGAACCCCCCACCAGGCAAAAACAAACAGAAAAACAAAACCTCGCAAGAGGACAGCGAACCCCAAGGAACAGAGCCAGCCGCTATGTCGGGAATAAAAGCTGTGCAGCACCCTGCGCCCCTACCAGTGCAAACTGCCTCTTACCTGCCAGTAACAAGGAAGAACAGAACACCCAAGAGCCCAACAGGCGGCCGAAAAACCGAAAATGGTAAAACGGACCAGCAGAGGCAGACCCCGAGGAGCCTGTGGAAGGTGGCCCCAAGCCCCAAGGGCAGTACTTACAGGGCACCTAGTGAAGGCAGCCCTAGGCACATGCAGCCCGAGTACTGAAGATAACTCCTGGCTCTCGCACCCACAAAAACAAACACCACACGCAAAGCACAGTGCTGTAGCGACTCCGGAGCTAGAGCACATGACCTTCGCCTATAGCATCAGCCTCAAGAACTGAGGTGTGGGTAGCCGGCGTGGAGGGTCTGGGGCTCCCCCTTCCCCTTCCCGGGGAGGGGGGGGGGGGAGCTGTGCAGACAGCGGCGCGGCGGCGTGTGACGTCACACTAGTTTGCTTGTTTTCTGTTGGGGAGTTCTATCCACTAGTTCAGCTTTTGGTAGCAATTTTAACCAGAATAGGGGTTTGTTTTGAGGCGCTTACCTTTCTGGGTGCCTGTTCCGGTCGATGGCAGACATAGAATGCTTCCAACCACACAGGGGCTTTTATAGGCCATTGCTCCCCTTGCCTCTCTGAGGGGGCCCGGTTCTGGCCGTGGTCCCCGGTTGGCCTAAGAACTCCATACACATGACTGATGCCAAAGTCTGACATTAGCATATCAGCCTGGGATAGCTCCGGGGAGCCGACGGGGCTCCCCCCAGAAAAGTGATTTTCTGTAAGCGGTAGCCTCGTGTAGAGGTGGCCCCCGTGTAGAGGTGGCCTCGGGTAGATGTAGCAGTATGTGAGGGAGCTTCGTGAGACTAGTGACCTAGACTTACATGGTCATATTATGTATAATTATGTATTTTGAGATAAGTGATGCATATTAGTATCATTGAACACCAAAGTATTAAAATTGCCTCCTGTTGTAAAGTGGCTCATATTTTAATTTTTGCTTCCGCAGCCTGAATAAGGAAGCTGAACAATCACTGTTACTGTACTTACTAAAGACTTGTATTTCAGAATACTCCTGATAATCATGAGAAAAGTACATCACTCTCACCTGTAGCTGAAGAATCGGTCAATGATGTTGGAGAGCACTCTTCAGATTCTCAACTTTCGACTATCCCAGAGATATCTGCAGCATCCTCGATCAAGCAGGATTCTGGAGGTTCAGCCGCCGACACAGACACGATCCAGGATAATGAGGAGAAACCGACTGATGGAGACTCAAGTGGGGCATTGCAGGATCAAGTAGAGAAGGAGGAATTGGCCTCATCTAGTGATAAGGCCCAAGATGAAGAGAAACTGCAAGCACCTGCAGTAAGTCGTGCTCCTCCATTGTACCCCACCAGCTGTTCCCATCTGACTCCCAAACCAAAAATAGACAATCTTGCACAGAAGCACACTCCCGTATCTAGCAAACCCACTCAGAGAGCCTATTACTCCCCCTATCTCACCCCTGAGATGCAGCACCTCGGTAATGAATATATTTGCACATCCGTAACTAGGAAACGGTTTCTAGGGAAGGGGTGTGCTATAAGCAGTGGGGGTTGGGCTCGACAAGTTGAGGTGGGGCAGAATGGGCATGCTGCTTGTGTGTTTGGCCCCTTCAGTCTCTCTAGAAGCCCTAGTTGTTGGCCTCATTCACAGGTTGAAACACCAGGACAGGTAAGGTGTAATATTTCTCTTTGGAATCTTCCATGCACTCATTCGTGATCTCGGGTTAACTCTCGTAGTGGAATACGTATTGCAGGAAATTAGTGAGTAATCTGTCTGTAATTTTATATTTCTTAAGTAAAAATATTATCTATCTTTTGATACCTTCCTGTATTTGGAAACCAACTTCTTGTATCTGAAATTTTTCTTGGGCATTTCTTATTAATGTGTTTAAAAGGTTTAAAGTACTGTACTTTAAATGTCTTAAGAATATCTCGTGTTTGATTGAACTGTTATATTTTAGTAAGCTTAAATCTTATTTAAATTGTATTTTAGCTAGTATCCTCTTATTTTTAAAGTTCCAGGTCTCAAAATTTCTTCTGTATCAATTTTGTAGATTCCCGTTGCTATTTTGAATGTAGTGATCACATCGTCTCTTTTCCTTCTATCTTTGGCATATTTAATGCCTCTAACCTACCCCTCATAGCTCTTGTCTTTCAGTTCCAGGAGGCATTTAGTAGCAAGTCTTTGCACCCTTTCCAGTTTGTTGATGTGCTTCTTAAGATATTCACACCATCCACGTATGTAAGAGCAATTCTGAAATTAAAAAGTGAAGTATAGGTTCCTCGCATACGTACTGTTCTTTATGTGCTCCTCAGGTGGCAGTTTATTTTCTATCTAGAACCACCCCTAGATCTCTCTTATCAGAATTCTTTAATACTTTTTCACATACTCTGTAGGTTATCTGTGGCCTATTTTCTCCTGTTCCACATTCCATAATGTGGCATTTATTCACATTAAAATCCATTTGCCAAGTGTTGTTCCATATACTTATTTTGTCCAGGTCATCTTAAAGGGCATGAGAATTGCCTAAATTTCTTATCTTTCCTGGTGTCTCAGCATCATTAGAAAACATGTTCGTGTAATTCTGTATTCTTTCTGGAAGTTTATGTGGACAGTGAACATTACTGGTGCAAGAACTGAACCCTGTGGTACTCTGCTAGTGACATTTATCTAGTCTGATACATTGTCTCTGGTTACTGTCACAAAATTTTCATCCATGTTATAAGTCTCGCTGTCACTCCTCTGGCATGTTTCAATTTCCAGAACAACCTCTTAAGTGGGGATTTTGTCAAAAGTGTTCTCTTAAGAATGTCTAATATCAGCACTGTAAAGTATTACAATATTGAGTCACCATCATGAGTATTGCCAAAGTACAAAACTTTCAGCTCAGTTCAGGCCTCTTCATCGCCCACTTAGATACCTCCATACTTGACCAAGGAAGGCCACCTGGTCTATGCCTACTACTACTAACAAAATAATAAAAATTAAGTGGTTGGTTATATTATTGTCAAACTACCGATGGGGACTTCAGATATAAATCAGTTTTGTGATATTTTTCACTTTGTGGGTTCTTTATCACTTGAATGATCTAGTGTGAGGTGAGGCTGCAGCCTGCACACTTCTCTTGGTAATGAAAGAGGCAGACATGAATTACTTTGTTGTAAATTTGTATTGTTTTCAAACTTGGGGCCTTCTTTATGTTGTCACTCTTGTTCTCTGCACTTTCATTTAATCTTTGTTATAACTAGTTACAAATGTCTATAGTTCATAGTTCACAGGAAATATTCCTAAGTACAGTAATTTAACTTAGAAAAGGTTTGAGGAGGGAACTAGGGTCTGCCACCACCTACCCCCCTTGTAGCTAGTGTTTGTAATAATCACGTATGCACTCAGTCTTGTGACTCCATTTGTGAAACCTTCCTGGTGAAACTGTATTTATTTAGGAATGTTTGTTTTGTGATGGTGCATTATACAATCTACAATTATATTTTTCAAGAGTAGATGTGTTTAAAACACAATCATACATGTTTGCTTTGATAAGTGTTGATGTAGTGTTTGGTGAAGATTGCATGAAGAAGCATGTGATTGGTAGTAGGTTTGGGGGACATTAACATTAATAAGAATTCTGATGTAGATAACTCATATTGTTGCATGCAGGGAGAAAAAAAAAGCAAACCCCACAGGAGAGCTCAAATAGCCACTTTTCTGGGGGGAGCCCCGTCGGCTCCCCGGAGCTTTACTAGGCTGATATGCTAATGTCAGACTTTGGCATCAGTCATGTGTATGGAGTTCTAGGGCCTACCGGGGACTATGGCCAGAACCTGGCCCCCTCAGAGAGGCAAGGGGAGCAATGGCCTATAGAAACCCCCGTGTGGTTGGAAGCATTCTATGTCTGCCATCGACCGGGTCAAGCATCCAAAAAGGTAAGCATTCCAAAACAAACCCCTATGCTGGTGAAAATTGCTACCTAAAGCCGAACTAGTGGATAGAACTCTTCAACAGAAAACAAGGAAACTAGTATGACGTCATACGTTACCGCGCCGCTGTCTGCGCAGCTCCCCCCTCCCCGGGAGGGGGAAGGGGGAGCCCCAGACCTCCCACGCCGGCTATCCACCCATCAGTTCTTCGGCTGATGCTATAGGCACCGGTTATGTGCTCCGGCTCCAGTGGTTGTTTCAGCACTGTACCTAGAGTGTGGTGTCTGTTTTCTAGGTGGTGCGTGAGCTGGGAGTGATTCTCCAGTACTCGGGCTGCATGCACCTAGGGTTCCCTTCCTTAGGTGCCCTGTAAGTACTGCCCTTGGGGCTTGGGGCCGCCTTCCACAAATTCCTTGGGTCCTGCCCCTGCTTGGCCGTTTACTGCTTGGTTTTCGGCTGCTGTGTGTGTGCTCGGGTGTTCTGTCTCCCTTGTTCGCCTTAGAGTAAGGGGCAGTTTTTGCACTGGTGGGGCGCAGGGTACTGTGCAGCTTGTCTTTACCAATCATAGCGGCCGGCTCTGTTCCGCTTGGGTACACTGTCTTCTTGCGGGGTTTTCTTTTTCTTTTTGTTTCTCTACCTGGTGGGGGGGTCTGCCTTCGTTCTTGCCCCTTGTGTCCCTTGTGTTCTGAGTATTTTCTGGTGGCACCCCCTGCTAGGTCCCCGTGAGTGTACACGTCCCGGGGGTTCAGCTCTTAGAAAGTTGTTTGGTAGCTTTGGGTGCCGGTTAGCAGTACCCTGCCTGGGATTACCTGAGCGCGAGTCCTCTTATAGTAAACGCTCGGGACCCTGGGAAACCCCTGGGGGCGCGCGGGTCCGATGGATGTGACCCCAGAGCCCCCCCTCGCTTCCAGCGAGTTTGAGGGTTGCTCTCACCCTTTGTCTCTGGGTGACTCTGTTTTGCTTCCGTCTGCTACCTGTGGGGTCGGTGACACCTTCGACCCGGAGTCCTCCGAGTTTGGTTGCTCGTTGTGGCTCGGTTACCCAGTTGTGCTGACTAAGCGGGTGCGGGCAGCAGGGGCGTTGCACTTGAGCCTTGGTGGTGGCAACGTTCTCGTGGTTTCCTTCCCGGGAGCCCCGGGGCTGACCCGTTGTAGTTCGTTTTGGGACTTGGGGGTGTTGGTTGCTTCGGTTCCATCCACGCCCCCTTGTCTTTCCCCTGGATCACCCTTCCTGCCAGCATCCGGTTCCTTACCGTCTGTAGGTTCGGGGCGGGGTTTTTGGTGGTGTTGAGACTCGGGCAGTCTCGGGGAATTCCCCTTCCGGGGTAGTGACGAGGGCATTTGAGCCTGTTCCTCTAGCCGTGTTGTATGAGTCTGCCAGTGGGCTCCCTTCCTTAGTGTTTTCATGGCTGCCCCAGTTTTCTGGTACGGCCGGGGCTTTGGGGGAACGGCTCGGCCCCGGGGTCTGTCGTGTAGGTTCTCGGGGCTGGGGAGGGGCTGACTTGGGGGGCCTTGGCCCCGTTGGACCCCGTGGGGGTTTTTATCCCCCTCTAGGCGGGGCTTGTGGTTATGCGGAGTGGGGTCTTTCCTCCCCACTCGCCGTATGTGCTGTTGGGCGTCGGCCCCTCCCCGGGCTCGGTTCCTTGGTCTTTGAGTCGGTTGGTTCCGTCCTGTGGGTGGATGTTTCCTCCCACCCTTTTTTGTGACGGTGTTTTCGTCATGTTTCCCCGTTCGATGGGGTTCTACGTGACTTCTGATCTCGGGTGCACCTGCGCCTTTGTGTGCCTTCGGGACTAGTGTTGGCTTCTGTGTTCTCAAGGGTTCGGGAATGTTTTTCGCTACTTCCCGCATTATTGGAACGTCTGTCGGCCCCTCGTCCTTGTCGCGGTTTTGGGCTACTTGTGGCCCGGTTGGGCTACTTGTGGCCCGGTTGGGCTACTTGTGGCCCAGTTGGGCTACTTGTGGCCCAGTTGGGCTACTTGTCGCCCTGTTGGGCTCCTTGTCGCCCAGTTGGGTTCCTTTTTGGGCTCTCTTTGCTTCTTTGGCCAGTTTTATTGTTCCTGCTTCCTCTTTTGGCTACTTTTCTAGTGCAGTAGTCCTGGTTGGCGCCTTCTCGCAGAGAGGGTTGTGCGGTTCGGCCAGCGTGTCATGCGCATGCGCCGTGGAGTTTGTTTTGGTCTGGGCGGTGTTTCAGTGCTGGTGTTTTGCGCCCTTTTTGCTACAGTGCTTCGCCTCTCGTTCTTCTCCCTGGCTGCTGTATGTGCCCCTTCGCTCCGGGGGTGTCCTGGTTCCCAGTTGTGGGGAGGACGCCATGGTTTTCCCTGTGTCATGGGTGTTGGCCGCCTCCTTCGCCTCTCCCTGCTCTCCTGTGGGTCCGGCAGGGTCCGGCTCTGGCGTCTTCACC